AAATGGAGATTTATCTTTGACATCTGGACCAACCAACCATCCATCCAACCATTCATCCAACCAACCATACACCATACATCTGGTCTCCCCCCAGTTGGACATGCCTAGAACACCTCCCTAGGGAGGCATCCAGGGTTCATCCTTACCAGATGTCTGAACCAACTCAGCTGGCTCCTCTGGATGTGGAGGAGCTCTGCTCAGAGTCTCTCCCCAAATTGTCAGATCTCTACCTGTATTTTTCATTGTTTTTGTTTGAAAAGTCATCCTAAATATTTACAGCTAATGTCACTTTAGCTTTTTTCTGTTGGTCCTGCAGCCAGGTCAGGTCAGATGGATGAGCCAATCAGAACACTGCTTAGAGGTGCTCATGTTTAGTTACCCCACACCTCTATGTTGTCATGGTTACCAAAGATGACCTGTTGAACAGAGGCAGACTTGTACTGCCCTAATACGAGGCTCGACGTGTGGATGTAGCTTGAATGTGATGTTCAGTTTGGGGTTCTGGCAGTTTTGTCAGGAGCAAGGCGATTAAAAAAATAAAAAAAACGCCATACCCGGTCTCAGAATATTTGGTCAAAGGTTATGGATGTTTTTATTACTACGGCTGAGAATCTTATCTCTGCCCATGAACCATATGTTTGGGTTAGCGGAGGAGCTGGCTCCATGGACACCTCCTGAGCTCTGTGAACCCGGCTGAACTGATCAGGGTATAAAAACGAGCTGAGGGGGCAGCTCGAGGCAGATTCTCCTGACTGGTCTTCATGTGTGTACTTTATGTATGTTTATATGACCCGTCCTGAAAATCGGACCTTGCAAGTAAAATCCCAGTTAAAAATCTTGTCCTGCATCGAGGGCGGCTCTTTTGGAGTAAACAACGTAAACGAAAATATTTTTCTCCAGCACCGGCCCATGAGCTGCTCCTTGAATGGTTCTGGTCTGCATGAACATGGATGGATGAAGGTGTCTGGAAGTGTTACAACAACAGGCAATTCAAACATTTCAAACATTTCTGTAGGAAGAGTCTGGTCCGGAACTCAGAGGTTTCAGCTGTGGACTCTGGTCCAGTTCTGGCGGAGCTCAGTATATTGTCTGGTCTTACCACTGTCCAGTTCAGTGACGTGACACTCCTTGGTGGCTCCTGATGGGGTGTGGATCTTTGCATCAATCAGGCCTCTGGCCCCGTTCAGCTGCACAGCGAAGGAGGCTTCCTGACCCACCTTCAGAACCATTTCCTGGAAGAACCGAGGAGGACAGTTATGGACGATATTCTTCTAAGCCATGGGGATCCAAGTGGTCTACCTGATCTATTGTAGCTTCAGGTTTTCTCACCTGCAGGCTGGTGATGGTGAGGCGGCGAGCGTCATCAGACTGACTGGCGATGGGGACAATGAACGGAGAGTCGGGGATGTGTTCTTCGTTGAACTTAATGGAAACCTCATAATCACCTTCAGAGACAAGAAATGATCAGAATGTTCCTGCCAGGTTCCTCAGAGATGAAGTCACTGTTCTTCCTAAATATTCTCAATAAGGCTACATAAAAACTAGCCTAACAATTTGACTCCAAAACCCTGATCTGGTTCTGAGTCTTACCAGGCTCCTGCACCACATAGGTGACTCCACAGGAACCATCCTTTCGGTCTTCAAAGGTGATCTCGGCCTTGCTGGGTCCTTCAACAGCGATGGACAAACCACCAGCTCCAGCTTCTCTGGTCCAGATGCTGAACTCAGCTGTAGAACACCAACCGGCACACAGAGGGTTCAGTTTCACCAGCGACCACTAGATGGCAGCGTACAGAGTCTGTGTGAAATCCTGTTAGACTTTCAGGGGTTAATCTTTCCCACATGGGCGGAGGAAACTAACCTGTAGGGGGCGCTACTGAACAAAATGCAAAATGAGTTTTTTATTAAAATAAATTATAATAAAATCTGAACACGTTGGGTCAAAACAAAGTCAACCTGATCAAACGTATAAAAATCCTGAAATGTAATTAAATTTATCTAACAAAGTTCAGTCAGGTCCTCTGGACGATTTCTTCTTGTTGAACGTTTCATCTTTCATCCAAAGGACTTCATCAGTCCGAGGAGCCACAACAAACTCAGTCTTACAAATAGCACCTTCACATAGTGGCGGACTCCAGAAACCACCTGAGCACCATCCAGCTGGTTGGCCCACTATGTGGAGGTGCCGTTTATAAGACTGAGTTTGTTGTGGCTCCTCGGACTGATGAAGTCCTTTGGATGAAAGACAAAACGTTCAACAAAAAGAAACTGTCCAGAGGACCTGATTTAACTCTGTTGGATTTTTAACCTGGATTATTGAGCATGAGTCAGGATAATTAAATTTATATTTCTCCTGTAAAAAGGTACAAAAAGAAGAAGACAGAAGAAAACTACACTTTCAGAACCTACCAGGGACCGCTGCCACTCCACGGTCCAGTCCGGTTCCACCTGCTCGAACCTTATGGGCCCCTCCCTCCCCCAGGGGCCCCACGGTGAACTGGAAGGGGCTCCCAGGGACGTGCTGGCCCCGGTATTTAACACTGACGATGTGAGGTCCCATCTCCTTGGGGATGAAGCGAACGCTGTACGTGCTGTCCTCTCCTTTAAGGATCTCTGCGTCCTCCGTCTTCCCTCCGGGACTTGTCACCTGAGCTGTCATCTCCTGGTTACCTGCTTCACCTGGGGGGAGGACAGGATGAAGGATAGAAGATTAGTCCTTAAAAACCTTACATTCTGGTTATTGCATCATTCAATCAGCTATAATTCATTATGGAGTTTCTCAGGGATCGATGTTTGGCCCCTTTTCAATATTTTTACCTGTTGCTTAAATTTTTTACACCATGCTGTCTTTGGTCATGCAAAAGTGACGTAAACAACATGTTACATTCTGTTAGTCGACGTTCATGTTAATCTGATTCTAGAGCATGTTGAAAAGTTCACCCAAGTGCTTAACGAGTCGGCTAAAACAAAAAAAACACCAATCACTACACGGAACTGAATTAAATCAAGCATAAAAACAAAAGTATTATTTGGGAACACAAGGAGACACTGGAGAACATGAGTGGAAGGATGAAGGAAACAATTAGGGAATGTTAGGGAATGACTGATCAGGTGCCTACTGAGCACCTTCTGGAGGATTTCTGTGCACGTCCCACAGGAAGAAGACACTGGGTCAGACCCAGAACACCATGGATCCTTCAGGTTGCCTTCATGACACAACCACGAAGAAGCAGCAGAACAGTGGGGAACATTAAAGAACAGTGAGGAACATTGAAGAACAGTGGGGAACATTTAAGAACAGTGGGGAACATTGAAGAACAGTGGGA